ACCGTGCAGTTTCTGCCTTGGAGCCAGCCAACTTCAGACTGAGTACTGTGGAAACCATGAGCCAAGTAACCCTCTCCTCCTTTCAATCAGCGGTATTTTGTTTCAGAGATTGGAAATAATTAACATAGGGACCCTCGAATATTAACCAAATAACTTTTGAGGGGAGATTAGAGCTATATATGCACACACACAATTACTTATATGGAGTTATTTCTAAAGTAAGCTTCTATGATTCTAGTGTGAAATTGACCTTTGGGAATATATTTTTCTGTACCTCTGTTTTTGTCTTCTGGAAAGCACGGCGCCCAGCCCAGCAGAGACCAGGATCTATCATGACCTGTGCCAGGTAGAAAGATCATACACAATGCAGAAGTCCCATCTTAACTAGAAAGTAAGCAGTGTGAGGACGTGGTTTTTCCAAGTCTGAGTAGAGTCCTAACAAACTGTACGTGATAAATGAAGGAACAGAGCCTTTGTTCAGAAATCCCTACAGGTCTGGAGCCTCAAGTTCCCCTATTTGCCTTGAGTCAGATATGTGTTCCCCCTGCCTAGCCTCTGAATTACTTTCCTACTTCATCATGACACAAATGTACTAAGTTACAGAGCAAAGCACGCAGTCCTCACGCACAGGCCTAAGGTTACCTGGGACTCCTTCTGCCCCCTCCCGCTCCAAAGATCAGTACAGATGTCCACTACAATGCTGGTCCTGGCCATGCTCAGGGGCTTTGTAATGCAGCTAAGGCTTCAGAATAGAATAATAAATAATAATCAACAGGATGGACAACAAGAATTCATTCTGCTCCCCTCCGCCATGGAGGCTCAGACTCCTGCATGAAGCATTGAAGAAATCAGCGGCAGCCAGCAAGGCGCTGTGAGGCAGGCAGCTCTGGGCCGCCCCCTCGGTCACTCTTAGAAGAGTTACAGGCCAGAGAATAGCCAGCACAGCGCAGGGCAGCCAGAGGAAAACTGCCTCTTTGTGTAAAATATGAGGCTGAGTCATACCCAGAGTGTGAAGCTGAGGGCAGAGCCATGAGTTCAGGTCTTGGGGCGGAAGAAACGGGGAACCCTTCTGGCACTATAGCGCCTAAATCACTCTGAGTAAACAGGTGAGGGCAAACCTTCCCGGTACTTCAGAGGCGCTGTGCCAACATCTCAAAGGTCAGCAAAGCTATAAATCAACTGCATTTGCACCAAACAGACCATGCAGCATTATTTTGAAAAGAGTTTGGTCCAAAAAATTCCCTAGAGGTGAACTAATTCAAAGAACAGGAAGAGAGCAGAGGGAAATGCCACCTCTCTGCTCCTACCTCGAGACAAGAGGCCACGAGGACCAAGCCAGGGCTGTCTCCCTGTACCTGCCCCGTCACACCCTGGAGGCACAGCCCAGGACAGTGCACACGGCCGGCCGAGGGGGCACCAGGGTGACGGGCCTCCTGTGGGACAGAGGACCCTGCTTCACTGAACTCAGTGTTTCCTTCAACGTTTTCAGCCAGGTATTTCCGCTAGGCCACCGCGGGTGGGTTTCAGTCTCCAAGTGTGTCCACCACATGCAGACAGTAGCAGTGTGGCCTTTGCAACACCCAGGAAATTGGGGGCTGCTGCAGGAGTCATCTGGGCCAATGATGGGAGCAGCAGTGACATCTGGGTGAAAGTTTTGGGGGAAAGCACATTTTGTCAGAATCTTTTCTTCCCAGATTCAGCGCCCCTGGAAACTGGCAACAGGCAATCAGTGAATCAGGTTTGTCACTGTCAGTCAGTGGCCTGAGTCAGATGTCCTCCAGCCTTGGCCAAGGCATAAACAGTCCCAGGCACCCCACAGGGGTATATGTCAGAGACAGGAAACAGACTCTGTGCTCGTAACCTGAAGATTCAGGACTGTGTTGTTCCGTAACATACACTCCTTGTTGTGACAGACAAGGCTGTTGGAGAGACCAGGATGAGACATAGTCTCACCGTTTTAAATATGTGTGGCCTAAGTAAGTATGACCTAAATACAAGAAGAAAAATAAAAAATAAATAAATCCAATAACAAGCAATAAACAACCATTCAAACAAGCTGTGGCAAGTGTGTCAGGAACAGAGCGGCACTGCTCAGCCTCAGAAAAGGTGGTTTTGAGAAGGGTTTGTGAAGATGGCTGAGGAGGCCACACTTAAAGAAGGAGAGGTGAAAGAGGGCTCTGAGGAGCAGAGGAGAGGATATGGTGAGTACCAGACAGAGGAGGGTGGAGGCTAAGGGAGTCTGATGGAGCGGAACACGGAACTCAGCGGACTGACAGGAGGCGATTCTGTGTGAAACGGGAGCTTTAGAGCTGGACACAGCCTCAGACGGGAAGGGCCCAGATAGAGCGAAATTGCTGCTGTGGGGAAAGGAAACTCACTGCACGCCATTCCCAAGCTTCATCTGTTTGTGAAGAAAATCCTAACTGCCTCATTCTGGAATGAGATCAGCAAAGCCTAGCACTGGAACTTAACGTGACTTGTAATCACACACACACACACACACACACACACACACACACACAGAGTATGCTGGAGTCAGCTGGGTGCATAAAATGCCAGATCTATCCTGTTTTTTAACTATGTTTGAGTAATTACTCCAACAACTGCAGGTGCTGACCACAATTAAGGTTTGTCAGTCAGTGTGAGTCAATCAGTGAGTCAGGTTGGTCATTGTCAGCCAGTCAGTGAACCGGTCAGACAGTGTCTTGTTGGTCTGTCTGTTTCTGTCAGTCATTATCAGTGTCAGTAGGGCCAGCCATAGTCAGTAGTCAGACAGTGTCTGTCAGTCAGTCAGCATCAGTGTGTGTCTGTCAGTCAGTCAGTCAGCTAGTCAGTCACTAATGGCCAGTCAGTAAGGGCAGCATTCAGGTAGCTTCTGAGCACTGTGCCCATCTGCCTTTTAATTTATTTACTCAGCACCTTTCCTGAATCTGGGAATTGGGATAGGATAGGTGTGTTATTCCTCCATGAGACTAGAGAGAAGAGCTCAGCAGCTCAGGATGAATTAATTACCAAGCGAGGTCAGGTCCCTTCTGCCAGGCTAAGCTTTGTAAGCTCTGAAAGCATCAGTTCAGAAGTGAGCCAAAGAGAACGATGTCAGCTTTGAGTTTGAAGAGCCTCTTCCTACCCCGTGGGGGTTTTTGGTGTTAACCAAAGTGCTCTGGCCTCAATCCCAGGACTGGTACCACATCCAGGATGATGCCTTGGGCTCTGCTTCCCTCTCATGGAAGGTAGACAGGCAAACACAAGGTGTTTCCTAACACAGTTGCTTCTTTCTCAAATAGAACCACAGTTGAGGGTGCAGAAAGGCGGGGCGATTGGGAGCCTGGGCCCAGTTCCCAGATTGCATCATTGTTGTGGGCATTCACAATGTCCCCGTTTCTTTGAAAGAACTGCTCATCTCCCCTCCTCCTTCAACACTCACCCACCCTGTGGGGTTTGTGCAGGAGCTCGCAACCACAATGCATGCCCTTACCCTAGCCAGATGTGGGTGTGAGACCCAGGCTGAATTAGCTGTGGAACTTCCTTATTCCAAAGTGACTGGTCCTGGGATAGGCACATGACCCACACCCCGCCAATCAGAATCCTTCTGGCCCTGCCAATCAGAATCCTTCCAGGTTTTTCTGAGGCTGTGTCTTAAGTCCTTTACTAGAAGCATATGCACCTAAGTCTGGCCTATTATATAGGGAGGCCTTAGAAGGCGACAACAAACAGAAGGAAACAGGTGCAAAGGAAGCAGACCAGAGATGCCTGACAGAATCCCTAGCCTCTAACTCTGGTCAGCCTCCCAGCTGCCTCCATCCCCAGCCTCCCATCATTTAGTTTTCTGAGCCACAGTTGTAGCCCAAGAACCTCGCCTCATGCCAACACTGTAATTGCTGCCAGTTTTAGGCATCTCTTGCCCATCTGGAAATAGGTGATCAGTGTAGAGTTAGCAAAAGCCCAGCAACTTCTTCTTGGTCTCTTGGTCAGGAGTGGACAGGCACAGTCCTCAGATATATGCAACAGGCAGACCCTCAGGAGGTGACCTGGGGGACCAGGACCTTTCCCCAGTGCTCACGGCCTTTGCCTGCTACAAGGTATGTGTGTCTTCATTCAGTGTTCTGCTGAGAATGTTCCCTTACTTACCTCCTTGGTGACTTTATAGGGATCTGTGCAGTCACAAGGGCCCCACACTTACAAAGATCCCCATTCTTACTTCAGTGTTCTGCTGTCACCATCTAGAAATTCTTCATCATTTGGAAGAAAAGGCCTAGCACTTTAATTTTTCAAAGATCCCCATTAAGCATGTAACCGGTTCGGGCTCTGTGCAGTCCCTTGTAAAATCTGTGATGCCAGTGAATGTTCCAGCTCTCAGAACCCTTGCTCCATTGGTCTCATATCGTGCTCTCCTTATTCTTTACTGTCTCTCCTCCAATCCCATTCTATAATCTTGCCCTCATCCTACCCTGATTGGTAAACAGACCGACAGCCTCTGCAGCCTCACCTCCACCCTCCCCACCCTGCCTAGCAGCTGGCTCATCCTCCACATCCAAGTCCTTTGCAAAAACCAAAGCTGAGAGTCACTTTCTCCGAACAGGGCTGATGTAACTGGCTGCGCTTGTTTTCACCCCTCAAACCCCAACATCCTGCACTTTGGCCTCCAATCCTCTTCTAGGTGGAGCCTTACTAATAGGAGAAGTCAAGGACTTTACTGCTCCGTCCAATGAGTAGAGCCGCCTGTATGAGGCCAATCATTGGTCAGTGGTGAGGATTTAAATGTCTAGCAAACAGTTGAGCAGCCAGTGTCCTTGGGAACAACCAGCAAAGGTATGTGCTTGCCATGGGCCTGGCCACCTCTCTGGGAAGGGTGGATTCCAGCCCCTCTAATGCAAAACGCCAATCAGCAGCTGCAAAACTGGACACCACCTCAGGCTTCACACCCACGGCACTAAACACATGAAAACTCAGTGGAGGCGGAGAGGGAAACACTGACACACAGGTCGACGACGAAGTCCAAGTGTGGTAAAAGGGATTTATTTCTGGAGCACAGTAACTGCCATGCAAGTAGGAACATTCCACTTACCAGTCCTGTCCATGTTTTTGTGTCACAAAGACATACTAAGACTTTGGAAAAATTCCAAAGGGGATTGCACTTGAAATGTGCTGTTTTATCCCTCCCCTCCCTCCCCACCCCGGCACTTATCTTTATCACACTGAACCAAATGTAATAGCTTTACAGCTTACTAAAACTCAAACTTGTCCTCAGAGGAAGCAGTTCAAACATTTCCAACTGTAAATAAGCAATCCAGTGATTCTACAGCAGGAGAGAAACCAAAAGCTGCTGCATCAGCATGCTGTCCTGTCAAGAGGACACACACATGAAGAAAATCCACCTGTTCTGGGAAAAGTGGACCTCTTCGGAACCGAGATCCCAAGATGCAAGGCAATCTTGTGGGTACAACATTCTCCTTGTGATAGGGAAGTAAGGAATAGACTAGAGCCAGCTAAGAATAGGGACTATAAAGAAGATGCTGATGCCGGGGATATAGCTCAGCGGCACAGCCTACCTGGCAAGCACGAGGTCCTGAATTCAATTCCCCAGTACCAAAAAAAAGGCACTGAGCATGACCACTGACATCTGTAATGCCAGCTATTGGGGAGGCTGAGGAAGGAAGACCAAAAGTCAGTCTTGACCACTTAGGAAGATCCTGTGTTGAAATCTAAAGACAAAAAGGGCAGGGGGTACAGCTTAGTGGCAGAGTGCTTATTTAGCATGCAGGAGGCCCTGGGTTCGGTCTCCAGGATCACAGAGGCACAGAATGATAGAATATCATTGCAGTGCTCCCAAAAGATAGCTTTATCGTGAGTAAAGGGCTGGAAGGCAACTCTCTGAGGCACTGTGCCAGCAACACACTCGGCCCAGTAATAAAATGGAAGGAGTTTCCCCATGCACTTGCCAGAGAGCAGGGACTTGAAGGCATGGGAGACCAGGTTCGACTAGCAGATGTCCACATGCTTCCTGAGTAGCTGAGCTTGATATGAACACAGAACAAGATAATGAACACAGGAGCCACCATCCAGAAGGCTGTCATGATAACCAAAATGGGCAGGTGCCAGCCACCAGGGATACCAGGGTCCCCAGACAATATGGCACCCATGCTCTGACAGCACTGTCTCATTTCTTATCCGGTGCAAATGGCTTGTCCCCTTCTCCTTCAAATACAGAGCAGTAGCTCTCTAGAAGAAGCAGAACAAGGAGAATGTGGCAGTAAATTTCTATAAAAGCCCAGCTCTCTGCTGATGCACCTGAGGGTTTCTGGGCAAAGACTTCTGACTCCTGGGCCCAGGTTTATTGTAAGGTATGGATGGTTTAGAAGGTATTGTTTGTGCTAGACAAAAGCAGAGAGACCAAACACTGAGTGGAGCAGAGTGTAGGGTGGTATATGCAGTGTGTGTGTGAGTGATATCTGGGTGGTATAATGTGAATGTGCCCAAATGGGGGTGGAGGGCCCCTGAGCAGGCCCTTGGGGTCAAGTGGCCCCACCACTCTAGCAGCCCCATACAGCCACACTGCAAACCTGGGTCTCTCCTGGATGGGGTTAGCAATAGGTAACCTGAAAACTCCCATAGCAAACATCCCCTGGCCGCCTGACTGCATATTCAAACATTATTTGAGGCAATGATTCAAAATCATTCACCAAACTTTTTCAAACTTTCAACCATGAACCACATTAAGTTTATGTGGCTTTCCACATTGCACAGGCACATACATCTAGAAACAAGTTCATACTTAGCCTGATCACATGGGGTATGCTCTGATGTGTCCTATTCTGTTACTTATGTGGTGATCATGATCCACCCTAATTGATTTTTCTTTTTCTTTCTTGGTACTAGCAATTTTTTTGAATTTTTATTTTTTAAATACATTATTATTTTCAATCTTATTTATTTATTTATTGGTTTTTGTTTTGTGGTGCTAGGGATCAAACCCAGGCCTTGTGCATGGAAAGCAAGAGCTCCACCAGGAACCACATCCCCAGACCAGTATTAGGAATTTAATCCAAGGCCTGTGCACTAAAACACATCCCCTGCCTTTTTAAAATGTTTTCGAGACAGGATCTCACTAAGTCAGTAAGTTGCCCATGCTGGGGTAGAATTTGCTATTCTCTCTCCTCAGTCTCTCAGAGTGCTGGGATTATAAGTATGCACCAACACTGAACTGATTTTGTGACCTACTTGCAACTGGGCACAAACAGTTTTTGTCTGTTTTGGTACCTACCGGGAATCCAACTCACGACCTTGCATTTGCCAGGCAGACAATTACGCCTCTGAGCTAAACCCCCAGCCCACAAACAGCTGTTTTACACCAAGCCTCCCTCGACAGAGCAGACCTCAGTGAGGATCACTAAGTGCCACCATGGGGGCACCTACCATTAAAAAGGAGAATGAAGATTTTCTGACCTATGTAAAGAAAAGGGGTCCTGCCCAGGTGGACTCAGGCCCAGGCTGACAACCATCAATCGGTCCACCTTCCCAAGTCACTGGGGAAGACTGGGTCACTCACTGGGGTCAGCCCGGCGCTATCTCTGCCTGAGCCAGATGCGCCTGGCTAATAAGAAAGAACGGGGAATCCAGGCCACCCTGAGGTTGGCCAGATCTAGCGGAAAGACGCTGCGGGAGCACCGGCGTCTGCTTTGTGCTCTATCTCTGGGGAGCACAGACCAGAAGGTCTCCTGAAGGCGCTGTCGCCCCATACCGGCTCTGCCCAGATCGAGTGACCCAGAAAGCGATCAGAACTGAGCTGTGGGGCCCAATGACCGTCACATGGCCTGCGTGGGACAAGCAGGACCTTGGAGCCAGGTGCGTCCCACCGCTGGGCCTGAGGGCGCAGCTGGGAAGGGAGGTTGTCAGAGGTGCACGGGCTCCGCTGGAGTGGGAGGCTGCACGGGCCTGGCCCCAGCTCCCCCGGGCAATGCTGCCTGGGGCTGCCAGCGCCGCTGCCTGTGGGCACCCAGTCATCATCACAGATAGACAACCGCGAAAAGCCCCCTCGCAGGTTGGTCAGGGCCGTGGGGGCGAGGCTGTGCATGCTGGGCTCCAGAGGAGATGGCCGGGCCCTCGTCTTGGCACGCAGCTCGTCTGCCACCGCCAGCTGCACGCGATGCGGCCTCTCAGGGTGGTAGAACTTACACTTGATGCCATAGGTGCATTTCTTGCCTGCAAAGGGCAGAGCAGAGAGGGCACAGGGTGAGACTTGATGCAGGGACAGGCCTGCAGCTCCAGCAGTGCAGGGCCTTGCCCTCTTCTCCAGGAGTCCCCAAGAAAGGCCTGTGGTCCTGGCGTCTGGCAGAAGTGAGAAGCACTCTGCTTACAGGGTGAGCTATAGTGCTCTGAGCACAGTAACTCCCAAAGAGATTAGTGAAAGGGTTGCCTAGAAGGTCAACTGGGATAAAATCCTTAAAATGGGCACTCTTACTGGGTGGAGTTAGGGGCAATGGTGGGGCAGGATGGGGACACAGTGAAAGGGCTGAGAACTGGACCCAGGGGCACATGGCACAGCCTTGGCCCACATGAGACTCCAACATCCAGCCCAAAGCTCCATGCAGCAGTGTGTAGGACTTCATTTCAGCCTTACAGCAACCCTGCCCAGAAACTGCAGACCAGAGAGGTTACGGTACCTCTCAAGGGAAATGCTGCCGGTGAAGGGCAGAACTTGGGAGGAAATCTGGGCTGCTGACTGCCAGACCAGCGCTTCTGACTGTACCCCTCTGCTGCTCCTACCAGTCCCTGAACAGGAGTCAGAAGGCCATGGGCACCACCCACCATAGGGGCAGTGCTGCCAGGATGGCTCTGGGGGCCTCGGCTTCCTGCTCAGGAAGTTGCTCAGGGTGGGTCCATGGCGGCCCAGAGGATCATCAGGAGGCATGAACCTAGGAAACAAGCACAGAGCGGTGATTGCTAGACCAAAAGGAACTCACTACTGGCTTTACATAGGAGCTGGGGGTGCAGGCCCAGGCCACCCAACAAGTACCAAATGACACGGACCGTCTACCTGGGGCAGTTGTCAGATCATCTTAAACAGCTCAACCCACTTCACCCTGAGCCTGTGAGCACAGCACAGCCCCAGCCGTTCCCCAGACTTCCTCCTTGGGTGGTGCAAGCCAGCAGGCACAGAATCACCTAGCAACTGGGTTATGGACACAGCCTCAGAGTTCACATGTTCAATCAGAATCTGAAGTTCAGAAATTTGCATTTTAACAATCTCCCAGATGACTTCCATCTAGGAAAAGCATAACTGCTCTCTTTCCCCTCCCCAGATTCCCATTGTTTTCATAGGAACCTCCATGGAGTTAACAGAAAGTAGCTACAAGATTTAGGGACCATATGAGCTCCTTGAGGCTTGGGCCCCTTTCTCCTGGGTGCTTCATCCCACACCAAACTAAGCTCAGGATGTGCAGTGCTGATAATCAGAAGCACCAGCCAGGACCTCAGTGATGAAAGCAGCCAGAACACTGCACCCAAGCACCACCGGGGCCCTCCGCAGCAAACCCAGGGCTTCTGGGCACCATCTCAGCTTCCCCAGCTTTGCTCATGTTGTTCTTGGATAGCAGCCTACCCTCCTCCTCCCTGGCACAGGGCCCTGGCAAGGAAGAGAATGCACGCTCAGGGTGCCCAGGAACCAAGGGAAAAATAAAGTGCCTCAGGAGGAACACTCACCCATTTCATGAGAGCTCCCTCTTTAAATCAATATTTTTATTCCCAGGAAACCCTTCTAGGCCACATGAAGGTTCTAAATGGAGGATTCTAAATGGGAGAGAATCTAATGGGAGAGGGACTGATTTATGGGTTGCTGTCCACCCTTCAAGAGTCACAGAGTCATGACAAGGTCCCGCCCTGCAGAGAGCTGGACGGTCTCCATGGCTCAGTGCCAGACTCCACAGCCAGCTTCTCTGAGCTGGGCCTCACCCAAAATCTGGAGACTCACCCACTATAGTTTTAAAAGTTCCCAAAGGCCTTACCTCCCAAGAGAGCGGGAACTGTACCAACAAGGACACACCCGGGGCCCAAAGGAGCAGACACTGTCACTCACAGTCAAGCAGGCAGACATGGCCTAGCCACCCATTAGCAGAGACCAATGCATACAACAGACTTGGCCTGGGCCCCTAGCTGTCACCAGGCCAGAGGCAGCCATGACCCATCAGCCCCCAGGGAGGATTTCTGAAACCCACAGTCACAAGGTTTGCCAGATGTCTAGGCCAAAGGTAGACAGGGAGAGCAGCTGGCTCTGCATATCTGGAAATGACAATGGGTGATTGCAGGTGAGCATCTGCCTCAGGGCTCAGGAGGCCACCTCCACCCCCTCAGCAACAGTGATGGGGGCAAAGGTGTACCCTGAGGATGCCACATCCACATCTAGCCTTGGAAGAACAGTTACCAGTTTGGGACGATTCTCTCCAGTCCTCACAGCAATCTCACAGGTACTATTGCTTTCAGCCTTGGGACAGAAACAAGTGGGAATGATGTGTGTGCATGCTGTGCCACACGGTCTGTTCCCCAGGCCCACGTCCACCGTCTGGGCTTTTTTCCAGTGAATGCCGGAGCACATTTGCAGTAGACAAGCCATGGTTCCCTTCTTCCATAGCTCAGGGTCAGGGCCCTCCCCCAGGGCCTGCTGACAGATTTATGCCTTGTGACCCTGGCATCCACCCCTTCCCCAGTCACAGCCGCTTGGTCCAGGGCTGACTTGATTCAGGGGACCACCCTCGGAGCCAGCAGAATGACAGGGTCTCCTGACCAGTTCCTGACCAAGCTCCTGACCAAGAGGTGTGGGGACAGCCATTTCCAGGCAGATTTAAGATCTTTAATGCCTGAAGACTCTCTACTACACTCCCATGTGTAATTCAAAACTTTTTTAAAACCCTAAAATAGGGCTGGAGAAGTAGCTCAGTAGTGCAGCACCAGCCTGGGAAGCTCAAGGCCCTGAGTTTGATTCTTGGTACTGGAAAAAAAAAAAAATGACAAAAAACCCCAATGATAAATGACAGGAAATACAACAAAGTTCAGATTTTTTTTTTCCCATGATGACTATTTCAAAGGTCTTATTGAAAGGATTAAATTCTAAAAATAAAAGAAGTTTCTGATGTACCCTGGCCCACCTGTTGGGCAACTCTGCCATGAGTCTGTTGGATATGACCATGGGAACTTCAAGGTCCAGGTCAGGTACCAAACTGCCCCGTGGGTGAAGGGACCCACCAGGAAGCTGGTCACGAAAGAGAAGAGACCCAGAGCAACAAAAGTACCTTATGGCCCCGGGAGGCCGCGCGCTGTAACCCCAGTCCGTGGTGCCAGGCCCCCTGCTCCGTACCTATCATTGACAAAGGAGAACATGAGCAACCTCTGCTCAATGAACCACTTCCACTCAGGGTTCTCGCTCTGCAGATCTCGGTAGTTGTCATTGGAGACGATGACGCCGTCCTTCTCATAGGCCACCTTCACGATGTAGCGGTCATCGTAGCAGACCACCCGCTTGCCGTTCACCTTGCGGGACGGCGTGTACACAAGCACAGCCTGGCGCTCCAGCTCCTCCAGCACGTGCTGCTCTGGGGCCAGAAGCCGAGACCACAGTCAGCGCCACTGTGCCCCAGTCTCCTCCCACCCCGCCCCAGCCAATCAGATGGAAGCAGGGGCGGGAGCAGGCACCAGTTGCTCCTCCCACTCCTAATGCTCACTTTTTCTCCTAAATTTCACTAAATTTTCCAGCAGCCTGAAGCCAAGGTGGCTTTTGGCTTCTGTCCTGCCTCAGTTAAGACAGCCTCCTTGGAAGGAGGATTTTAGCCACACCTCTTGTCCTTTTGAGGATTACATGCCCCATTGGCCCTACAGTGGTAGACGTTGGGGTCTTTCTGGGGGTGGACTTCCTGCCTTAACTGGAATCCTACTGATGCCTTAGCGATGATTAGCAGCCTGGCATCCACCAGAAAGACTCCTGGGTGGACCCTTCTCTGCAAAGCATCCCACAAGTGTCTGCTTGGCCACCTTTGCATTGAAACAAAGACATCTCTGCCACAGACACCTCTGAGTGACTCCAGAATGTAAGAGGAAGAGTCTGGGACTCAGAATACACAGCCTGGATTCTGAGATGGACTCCAGTTCCTTACATCTCTTTAACATGCAGTGCGACAGTCATAAAATAAGGTTGATGACACCTTCTATACCTGTCTCATGTGCTTGTGAGCAGACTGAGCCAGCTCAGGAGTGTGAGAGGTCTGGCAAACACTGGGGCTGCACCAGATGGTGCAAATATTGCAATATGTTTCCTTGCAGAAGCTGCAGTCTCTGCCCTGGGAAGGGCCACTGTTTGATCTTAGATTTCCCTTTGGAGACTTACAAGGAAAATCTGTTTTCCACATAACAGTTACCCAGAACTTAAAAAAGTATGAACCTATTCTTCATAGATTATCTCTTCCCCTAAGTTTAAGTCCAGTATGACATGATTTGTAGACTTTAAAAAGACAACAGAGAACATATTTGTGGTACAAAGTGCAATAAAAAATACCATAAACTTTGAGGAGCACAAAACAGGCCGTGCTTGGGAAGCTCCTGCTGCTCCCCCCTGTTCAGTCCTCTCCATTCCCCTTATAATAGTTCATATTTTACAGCACAGTGATTTATAAACTACAATTCCCTTGTTTCAATTACGAGATATGTGTGTATGAGGACCATCTTCAATACGGTTACATGTTGAGCTTTGCACAAATGGAATCATTATGCATGTACTTTATACAACTGCTTTTTTCACTGATCGTGGCTGGTGAAGTTTGGTGGTCTAGTGTTCACTCCAGTAGCTTGCAAGTAAGCCCCTGGCACAGAAATCCAAGGAACTCTCTGGAATGTTCCTTAGAAATTCTCTAATAATTTTTGCCAAACCACTGACTATAAAGTGCCCTCTTATGGTAGTTTTACTTTGTATTTGTCTGGTTACTAATGAGATTGAGCATCTTTGCATAGGTTTATCGGCCATTTATGTTTTCTCTTCTTTGAAAGACTCATTCTGGTTTTAGCTGATTTTTCTATTGGTTCATTGTCCTTGTCTCATTCATTTGAAGATGTTCTCCATAAATCTAGATATTAATCCTTCATCAATAGTGTGTGATGTGACCCAGGCATGGTGGTGCTCTCCTGTAATCCCAGCACTTGGGAGGCTGAGGCAAGAAGATGATGGCAAGTTCAAGACCAGCCTGGATCACAAAGCGAGACCAAGGCCAGCCTGAATCACATGGCAAGATTCAGTCTCAAAAAGACAAAAAAAAAAATATTATGTGATGTGTAGCCTCCCCCAGTTTGAGACATGGTTTTTCTTTTTCTTTATTCTTTTTTTTCTTTTGTGATATTTTTATTTATGTATCTCCCATAGTACATTCTTTATGATAGCTTGTTTCAAAATTCCTTTCCTGCTTCAAAATAATTCTCCTATTTTTTAACTATTATATTTATATTACTATTATATTAATATTTTATATTAATCTAAAAATAGATTATATTTACCTATGGAATGAATGGTTGAAAGACAATAGTCTGCACATTGGTGCCATAAAGAATTATTTGGGGGTAACCAGTTCATAATGGACTATTGCAGAGATGTGTGTATCCCCCTTTCTTCCTATAAACTCCATTGAAATTTCAGCTAAGGGACTCAAAAATGGTACCTATCATATTAAAAATGGGTTCAGGAATAACAGCAGACCCAGGATTTTAATAAGTTCTGGGAAGAGAGAAAGCAGAGAGGACCGTATTGACTGTAGAGCAGGGAGGGCAACACGGCCCAGAGTGTGCCCACGAGGCTGACCCAGAGCTGGGGACCCTCTCCCTGTGCAGCCACAAGACAGTCGAGGCTGCGGAGGGGCCAGGGCCAGGACACACTGGCTTCCTGGAGGGCCACTCACGACAGGTGTCCCAAGGTGGGGACCTGCACTGACTTCCTATCCCAAAACTGTAAATAAAGGAAGGAGGAAAGTCCCACTGTGTTGCTCCCCTAGCATCAAATTCCCATCACTGGGGCACCAGACACGCGGTGGGCAGAGGTGCCTACTGCTCGTCTGCCCATACGGGGTGTGTGGAAGCGGGTCAGCACCGAGGGTCAGCCCTGCCTTTCAGGGAAAGGTCCCCAAGCCAGAAGAGAAAGCCCAGGGCAGTTGCACAGGAACTGATTACCACCAGCCTTTGAGGAGGAAAGCTGGGGAGAGGGTAGGAGAAGAGAAGAGGAAAGGAGAGAAAGAGAGTCAGGAAAAAATAGCATTGTGGAAAGTAAGAGAACTTTTTAAAAAGTTTGTGTCCCTGCAGAAATATTCAGAAAGATGCTGCAGCAAAAAGACAATCATGTTTTTACTTAAAAATAAAAAGCAAAGGAGACAGAAGAAGAAACTAGTAACCACTGACAGAATTAAAAACAAACCACAGACAAAGACAAAACTGTCAGTAAAAAGACAAGAAGAAAACACGAAGGAAATTTCCCAGCATGACGGAGAGGCTGCTGGCTGAGCTGAAAGGGCCACAACAGAGTTTCAGCACCTGATTTCCTGGTACCACACGGCTGAACAAAAGCCGCACAAAATCCTGTTGTTTAAACCACTTTGTTCAGTCATTTTGCTTAAAAGATTCTCTTAGCTAATATATGAATTAAAGAATTTCCTGGGTCTCAATTACCATTTGTTTTAAATGAAGAGATGGGACTAGCTATTCAGTACATAATAAACGTTACCTGTCAGGGTGCACATCTTTGTGTGACCCTATATACCAGAGCCAATCTTTCTTCAGTGTTAAAAGTTGTAAGACACAATCATTTTGGGAATTTAAGCATTCACACTAAAAGATTGAGTAATTTTTTTTAATCTTTTTGAGACAGGGTTGTACTGTGCACTTTAAGTTGGCCTTGAGCTCACTTTGTAGCCCAGACTGGTCTCAAACTCACAACAATCCTCTTGCCTCAGCCTCCCAATTGCTGGGATTAGACTGAGTAATTTATTTGTTCATTTATTCAACTTTCTTTTCTGAGCAGCTACTGTTGTACTCAGGTGTCTTGCTGGCACGGAACAGTCACAGAAAGTGATTTCATAGATGTTTTTAACAGACACCATTAAACTGGTCACTAGAAAGATAACCGACCACAAGCATTACCAAGAGGGGGAGCATTACCAAGGAAGGGTGCATTGCATCCCTCAAGCATAACCAGTCCAGCTTACCTCTGATAGGGGTATCGGATCGGGATGGCTCTTTCCTCCAGGATGGGACAAAAACTTTGATATAGGTGTGTCCTCTGTCCTTGAACCAGTCCACAGCCAGCTGGATTCCCCGGCAAGAGAAGACTTCTTTATTTCCATGGCTATGAAAATAAGACAAAGAAACTGAGAAGGCACAGGAAGGGTTCCTAGGAGTAATTTCTCCTGGGAACATTTGGGATCACAGTTTCTTTACTGAGAAGGAACCAGGCAGATCTGCGTTTTAAAGATAATGTTTCTAACCACAACTGTAGCCCATAACTAGAACCAGGAAGCTGGTGGTAAGGACATAGCACGCTAGCTCCCCAGGGAAAATATTCCAAGAAAGAGGAGGACAGGGAGACTGAGGGAGAGACAGGTTCTTGAGAGCAGAGGCCCCTGCAAAGCCTGGTGAGAAGCAGCCAGTCTGAGCCTGGAAGGGGACCGTATTTAAGCTTTAGGTACCATCCTTTCTTACATATGTGACCTTTCCTGTTATTTTCTCAGAGGACTTAGGACAGTCACGGGTCAATGAAGCATTATAAAATGGATAACAGAAGTCAGGCTCTTTGGAGTTATCAGAGAGCTTGAATTCCTTCAGCTTCAATAACAACTGAGAACGCTGGCTTTGCAATTTTGTAGGGGAAGGGGGACTTCTCCTGGTAAAAAGAACACATTGCTTTGGCCATCAAAGCTGCACTAGGAGACTTGTATAAATAGTGAGAAAATCTCATTATGGCTTGTATTTAGATGTCCCCCCAAAGCTTCATGTGCTCATAGGTGGGGCTTTTTGGAGCTGGCTGGATCTATGCTATATGATACTTGGTGAGGGGTATATGGTTCTAAATTTCTCCACTGATTGGTCTAACATAATTGTGAGTGTGGATAATGGGAAGGTCTACCCTGGGTGTGAGTGACACCACCCAAAAGGCTTGAAGCCTGAATGGGATAAAAGGGGAAGGGAACCTTGGTACGTGCTGCCTTGATGACTCCTGCTTGGTTTGCAGTTTCTCCTCCACGATGCCTCTCTGCCATATCATACCACCTTGAAGCCAGCTGACTATGGACTAAAACTTCTACAAACTGTGAGTTGAAATAAACCTGTTCTCCTTTAACTTTTAGCGTTGGGTGTTTTGTCTTAGCGATGAGAAAAGTAACTAAGACAACCCTCAAGAAGATGGGGATAGAATGCTAGTTCTTCCATCCAGGGGAAGCTGAGAGAGGAAAGTAGATGGGGTATATGAGGAGGTCATTGCCCCTCACTCCCACTGAGCCCAAAGAGGAGGGGGGCATTCAGTAGAGGAAAAACGTGGCATGTGATCAGGCATTGGCTGTCATGCTGGTCAATGGGGCCGTGCGTAAGACAAAGGCTTCCATTTGTCCACAGACTTCATCACTGTCTCAGCGTGGATTATGAACCTCCACTACAAGCCTGCAGTAGGTGCGGAGGAGGGATGTTCCTCCCTTCTTGGAGTTCATCTTTAATAGGTGTGAATAGTTCTGTCTGCCAAGTGACTTGGCACATTTTGTCTCATTTAATTACTACAAGTCCTTGAGGAAGTGACCTTCACCTTGTTTTACCCTTGAAGGAACTGATGTACAGAAATGTGCTGGATCTGGTCTAGTGCCCCTGCCCTCTGAGCCTGATTGTTGGCTGAAAACTCTTTCTCCCTTGGCACCAGGTTTCCTGGGCCCCAGGCGTGGCTCCTTGGAGCAGAAGCCACCCAAGGTTAAGTGCTCCTGCGGGAAGGAGCCTTCCTGGGTTACTGCCCAGCACTGGGAGGTGGCTTATCAGGCAGCAGGCTGATGGGCAAAGGAAATGAGAGCCCAGAGGTTTTGAATAGCGTGAGGGTAGAAAGGGGAAGTGGGTTGGTGCCTGAAGTAAACTATGCCAACGTGAGAACTGTGCCTGGGGCAGTCACGGTTGGGGGTACTGTCATTTATAGAAACCAAACTATCTTGTGAACCACTGGATCTTTGATTTGTACCCAGGAAGTTGCTGCAGAAGCTAAAGCTCACCAAACAACCCCTTTGGAGCAAGGCTGGGCGAAGAATAGAAGGGAAGAAAGAGGAGCAATGACTTCTTAGGGGTCTGGGATAGAAACACACACCCTTGTTTCCACTGTTTTTTATTTGGGATTAAATTACCAGTGCTCAAAATCTTCTCCCCAGGAGATCGAGCAAGTCAGGGCAAGAAGAGGTGGGCAAGGGCTGCCTCGGGTGCTCTCACCTTATAAAGAAATGGGTGCAGACTAAGTTTGGTCAGAACAGATTCAGGGGCTCAGAAGCCAGTCTGTTCCCCAGCCCAAAAGTAAACTCGTATCTATCTCTTGCCTGCCAACTTGTAGCCCACCAAGAGGGACCTGATGAAAACAGAGGCTATTTCCACCCAGATTCTTTGCACTGACCAAGTCCTTCTTCTGGAAGAAGCGGAATCTTCTAAGTTTTATAATAGATTTAAAGTGTAGCAAAAAGTCCAGCATAGCCCCAATGAGGACACAGTGAAATGAAACTGTCCTCTGAAGCACTAAGAGGATGTGAAACTCTCAGGTGACTTCCTCCACGCTGGAGGCTTCGAAGCCCACCATTGCTAGATTTGCCCACAGAATGTGAAGCAAGCTGGGAGCTTGTGAGTTCTCGGGTCCTGCAAAAAGTTGCTGCCTCGTGCCTCCTAGAAAGCCACATTCTTCCCAAACACCATGATGCAGCTGCTAACAGGCCACCTCACAAGTTGCCTGATCTCTAAAAAGTTGCTGGACATTTTGTTTTCAAAGTCAGATGTCTAGCAACTCAGATATTCAGCTGAGTGACCCAAACATGCTCTCTCTCTCTCTCTCTCTCTCTCTCTCTCTCTCTCTCTCTCTCTCTGAACCTCTGAAGAAAAATTCCTTTAGAAGAAAATATGCTTGTGTCTTTCTAACACATGTGAAATAATCACCTTTAACCTTGGCGTGTCAGAGATGAAACATCTATTGGAGATTACTTAGTCCAACCTCTTAACTGTGTAAACAGGACTCAAAAAAGTCAGGGACTTGCCAAGGCCACACAGCTGCTTAGCTGAAAACCCAGAGCTGCACAGCTTCGTGCACAGCTATTTAAAGTCAAATGAATTCAAGGGAAATACAGTTTAAAATTCAGTTCCTCAATCGCCCGAGCCACCTCTCAGGTGCTGGGTAGCCACGTGTGGCAAGTGGCTGCCATAGCTGATAGCACAGACTAAAACTTTCCATCATCACCAAGAGCTGCGTTCGGCAGCCATGCGTTAAAGTCCAAACTCAGACCTTCAGGCACTGAACTGTCTGCGGTCCTGGGTTCTGACCCAAGCCTGGCTCCCCAGGTCTCGGACTGATGCTCACCCACTTTGCAACACACAATTCTTATTAAAGTTGCCTGACTACAGCCAGGCATGGTGGCTGTAATCCCAGCATTCTGGAAGGCTGAGGGAGGCAGATCACAAGTTTGAGTACAAGCTGAGCAATCTGGCAAAACCACGTCTGAAACTCAAATTAAATCAAAGTTTTTTTTAAAAGGACTGGCATGCTCACTTCAGCAGCACATATGCTGAAAATGGGCCGGGGCTGTAACTTAGTGCAGAGGCCTTGGGTTCAATCCCCAGGAAAGAAAAGTTGACTAACTGCTTATGAGTGGGGTGGGTGGAAATCCATTAGTCCTGCTTTTGGGAGCCCAGTGAATTTTCTGCATTGCAACAGTGAGGAGACAGAAGGGTCTTTAGGTCCATTGTAAGGAAGTGCCACCCGCTTAGCCCTGTTCTATTGAAACATCTCAAGGACAGAGAACAGCAGCCTGCCTTTTTAGTACAAGTTTTGTTTTTGTTTAGTACAAGTTGTGTTTTGTTGGTCCTTATTGACTGGCATCTTAGTTTCCTACTGCTGTTTGGTGGCTTAAAACAAAACAAATTTATTCTCTTCTAGATCTGGAGGCCACAAATCTGATACAGACTCCAGGACTAAACTCAGGGTGTCAGCCAAGCTGGGCCTCTTTCTGGAAGCTTGAGGGAGGAGTTTGTTTTCTTGTATTTTTCTACTGACTTGGGGGCCTCTTCTTTCAAGTGGGCTTGAAATAATACACACCGTGAATCACTTATGTGTGCATATCTGTGTTTCTCTGAGAAGATTCAGAGCTTTTAACAGATATTTAAAGAATTTGTGACCCTCTAAATGTTAGGGATAGCTCATGCAAAATGAGAAATTAGCAGCGATGTTGTGTTTGATGGCCAGGGATTTCTGTTTTCCTCTGCCTTTTAGGAGGCACTAAGGGGTGCATCCCTTGTCAGCACAAGGAGTGTTTGAGTGAGCTATCAGTCCTTAGGTCTGACCCTCTCTCACCCTGGAAGGGATATAATATGCTTGGCCAGATCAGGACTGGTCAAGTCAGCCCTGACTTCTATGCATGTACTTCCACTAAGGTCACCAGGCAAGACATTTGGGGCTTCTACCCCGAAAGTGTGGGATGTTGGGCTCAGGAGTGTTGGTTGTGGATGAACATGGAGGCCTATGTCGGCCGCTGTTCTCTGTAGGCACAAGTACAGGCCACCAGAGGTTCCTGGGGACATAGAGTCACAGCCAGTGGCAGACACTCTGGAGGGTGCTCTGGAGGGAGCTGCACATCTCTCCCCTTCAGGGAAGAAAGGGCATGTGTCCCTCTCAGCTTCAAGCTCCTTCTCAGGCAGCCTCACCTTCAAAACCAGAAGACATGAATGTCTTCCATACTACAAACCTCAGTGAAGGAGAGCTTCCAGAAACACTGTCTCTGAGGGTTATTGGAACTCTGAAATCAGCAGCTAATGACACACCAGTTTGGGTTTCAACTGCCCATCACTTGTAGCCTCTGCCTCAGCCTCTGCCTAGATTTCAATCACAGGATCTGGAAGGCCCCGGGGGATATAGCTTCTCTTGAAACTTCAATTGGAGGACACAGTAGATGCCACCGTAGAAGAGACAGGGAAAGGGATGGAACCTCAGACTCTCATTCTTTCCCAAAACTTGCTTTTAAGGGGAACAAATTAAGTTCCAAGGTCAGGTGGTTGCTGTACAATTTTGACTAACTAATGGGATACAATGGGCAGGCATACATGTTTGCATGTGGATACACATGTGTGCATGTATTCATGTGGACATATAGCCATGTGCACACACAGAGAAAATGCATTCTGGTTACTGGAGGTGTTTCATGGGCAGCAAGTGTGTGGCAAGCACCTCACAGTAAGTCTGAGGAAGGATTTCCACTTGTCACCCGTGCAGGTTGAACATGAGAAGAATAAACCGAATGCTGCTGGGAGAGTAGAGGGCAGAGGTGATGAGACCAGATAGATTCACCAGGGTCATGGTCATATGCAGATAAAGGATGTAGTGTAAGTTGTAATTCCAGGCAGCAACTGAGACTCCCATCAAAAGAAAATCTTGCACTGCTACCCTGTAACAACCCTAAAAATATTCTTGTACCCAAAGAAAAAATGCTAATGATTTCCTATAATGCCCCAAAGTAATCTTTTTACCGTGTGTCCATTCTACTGTTTGATTTGGAATCTAAAGCTAGGAATGTTTTTAACTAATATGATTATCATTTTACATGCAAAGCCCTCTTTCTATTGATGCCTAGAGAAAGAGAGAGGAGTCTGGTCTAGATCATTCAGAGACCAGGCTCCCTCCAGCTCTTTCCAGGACCCTTAAAGCCTACTGGATTCCTACAAGTTCCAGTAATGCTCTAGATCTTAAATGGAGCAGGATTCTATAGGCTCCCCTACAAGGAACATGCATAAGAATATGAAAGCACCCCAAGGGCCAGCTCATCAGTCCCAGGGAAAGAGGGGCTCATCACCTTTTGCAGGGGTGTAGAAGTGTATGTTTTACTGGGGATTGAATCCAGAGCCTTGGCACTGAGCTACATGCCCAGTCCTTTTCATTTTATTTTTTAGTTTTGAGGCAAGGTCTGGCTAAGTTGCCTACACTAAGCTCAGATTGCAATCTTCCTGCCTCAGCTTCCCAGAGTGCTAGGACTCAGGCATGCAACCCATGCCCGGCTTTATCATGTATTAATACAACAAGATGCTAGACCTGCCTGAGGAAAAATGGTGCACTGCTCTCAGTGCAAAACACACAATGTGGGAGGACAGCATCCAAGGGTGGTCCATGTTGTGTTGAACCTTTTTCCAAACTGCTATCTGTCTTGCAAAGGCAAATCCAGCATGAGCCTCAGTCCCCAGGAGAAACTTGAGGATGCCTTGTTGACATGGTGGGAGCCTCTGAAACTACTTTCCTGAATTCTTCCCCATAACCTCTTCCCCATAAGATCTTTCACCCGGGGTGGAGTGTGGGAGGCTGCAGAGGCTATCGCAGTGGGGTTCAGCCAAGCCCGGCACAACGGCCATTCAGAGCATGATGCTCACATCCCCAAAATGCACAAAGGTGTCAAGAGCAGTCTGCAGCTAGACGAGGACCACAAACACCTCTCAGACACAACAAGGGAACTGAGACCTCCCCCCAACCAACCCCCAGCAGAGGGTTCCCAGGGCAGCTCTGGTCTTTCTCCCACGAGATTCTCACATCCCTGAGGGAGGCAGAAGAGATAAGAGGAATCGAGAACTCTTGTTTTCCCAGAGTTGTGCAGCTGGTGAGGGACAGGGTCCAGAGAAAAAGCCACATCTGTCCACACCTGACCCTGGGCTCTTCCCAATTACCCACGCCTCCCTCAGAGGAAGGAAGACTTTGTATGTTTCTTCTTCTGCATGATCAGAGAGGGGCTGTCCCCAGCAAGTTGTGCAGCCCCGATCCTCAAACTACTTTCTCAGAAGGGCCGATCCCCAACAGTACAGATGGAGAAATGAAGGCTCAGAGATGTTGAGTGGCTTTACTTAAGGCCACATCGCTACTAAAAGATGAAACAGGGATTCTACACCAATCCATTGGCCCCAAAGCTCTTCAGAACAGCTACAGAAAGCAAGAATGATTCCTAGGCCTCCTGAGACTCAGTCCTCCACTACCCACCCCCAGCTACTCAATGAGGAAAGCAGGAAAGATACCTCATAGCCACGTTGCTGCCATCGATCACTATGGGACGCAGAGAACTGGCCGGGTCACTGCAGTCCTCTTCCAGGGCTGGCCCTGGGCCCCTCCAGGCAGAGTCTGGGGCCCCACAGGAGCCCCTGGGAACAAGTAGGGGCCCAGTGCCACTGTCTGAGACTTCCTGAGCTGCAGCGGGGCGGCTGCCTGTCCGGATCAGCTCCTGTAGCACGTCATTGACCAGGGCGCCGTCACCCAGTTTGTCCAGTACCCTGACCACATCCTCCCGGCTGTAGCCCAACTTCTGGAAGAACTCCATCTTGCTCGGGCGCTCCATACTGTTCCAGCCAGCACCTTGTGTGGGTCCTACCCCCAGCTTCCTCCTGGCAGAGCCCCACGGGCATGAGCTAAAGGAAAAACAATGTCCATCAGGTGTTTTCTATGCAGTGTGGCAGCCAGGCTGCCAGGTGACTGAGGGTAAACTGGGTACAAGCTCCCTCCCTCCAGCCTTATCAGTCAGGAAATCACCTTGAGCCTGGTCCCCTTGGGGATTTTCAGTTGCTCCGTGTGGTTGGGGAGCTGCAGATGCAATCAGACTGCTTGCGCTAGCGCATTCTCAAAGGTCTTTACCCCATCGCGCCTGTGCAGGGCTCGCCAACCACACCCCAGGGTGGCAGGTGCTGAGCAGGGCACCCAGCATTCAGAGCAGGACAAGGAAATGTGCCTGAGGCTCTGTTAGAGACTGGAGGGTGGCCCCCAGATTCCTGTGCTGAAGTTCTTAACCCCAGGACCTCACAGCGTGATTGTACTCGGAGACAGGACCTTTAAAACAAGGTCTTCAGCATTGGCCTTTGTCCAGTGACTGGTGTCCTACAGGAAAAGGAAATCTGGATGGAGAGAGGGGTAAATATTTGAAGTCACAGGGAGACCAGATTCAACTCTTCCTCTCCAACCTCACTGCCTGGGTCCCCCCTGTGGGGTGATGAGGTTGGAAAGGAGCTAATTATCTTGTTTTGGAAAATGGCTATTTCTTGTTATGGTATTTTCAGAAGGAGATGATGACTAAACCAGTATGACTACTTGGGACAACTTGATCTCTCCTAAATACAGCCATAATCATGAAAACGTATTTAATGTGAAAACGTCAGACAACACATGAGTGTAAAGCGTACTGCAGACCCTGATTCTCCAGTCCCTCTCTTCTGAGTCTGCTAACTGCTTGCAATGTCTCCAACACTTTCTCTACACATTTAACTTGAAAATTAATAAATAAAAACAAATACAGTTTACGGTTGTTTGGTTTGATTTTTTACATAAATGATGCCATGCTGCACATATTGTTCTGCAACTTCCTTTTCATATTAAAAATGCATTTTAGAAATTTTTTCCAGGCCACTTTACCTATCCTGTTGCCTATGGTATCCCCCAAATCTGATGGATGAATGGATGGATGGATGGATGGATGGATGGATGGATGGAAGGATGTTGCTTGCCACAGCTTAGTCATATGCTAAAAGATGGAAGTTTAAGTTGTCTCCCATTTTTATCTGTTAGAAATACTGCTGATTGAAGATTTTTTCCCATTTCTTTCACTCTGTCCTTTTCTCAGAAGTTCATCCTATTCCTCCATCTGAATCCTTCGCAGCATTCAAGACTGTGTGATTCCCACGTGGCCTTCATATTTTCTCACAGGCCTCTTCCTGTAGTGCAGGGGCTGTGGCACAGCTAGGGTCGAGGTCTGGCAGGTGGAGGGTACTTCACAACCAGCTCTGGATAGATGGACCTCTGCTGCAGTCCTCCCTCACGTGTCTCCTGCTCCGACGCTGCCCAGGACAGCGCCACCACCATTGAAACACTGAAACCGCCCCAAGGTCACCTTCTAACTGCCAAGGACAACAGCATCTTCACCACTCCGGCCTCATCCAACCTGTCTGCTGCTTTTGACTCTGTGGACCACACTCTAACCCATTAGTTTCAGGTTTAAAACCATGGACTGCCTCTTCTCCAAACTCTGTGCTCCTTCAGGCTACATAGCTTAGCCTGATTCTCCTCTTACATCTGTCCAGCTCTTTCCTCTGCTCCCTCTTTCAATGTGGGACTCCTGCACAGGCCACCCTGTAGCCCCTATAAAGGCACACACACACTATGTAAATAAAGTGTTGTGGGAACTCAGAATGCTGGCATTCAACAGAGACGACCACGGATCTACTTCAGTGGTTCTCACAGGGTGATCTCACAGGGTGATCCTGGGGGACCTCAAGACTTTTTCAGGGAATCCATGAAACTATAACAACTCATAATTTCAAAATAATAATTTCAATAACAATCTCATAATAATAGTAAAGTATGTGTTTATTTTCTTCCTTTCATAGTATCCCAAAGAATATTCCAGAGACTATCTGTCCTGTGATACTGCTGGGGTTTAAATGCAAAAGCAGATGTAAGAATCCAGATGTCGTCTATAAAACTAGACATTAAAGAGATTTGAAAAAAATCATGCCACTTTGGGAAGATGGAGTTTTTATAAAGGTGTGACTGGCACATTGCTGTTTAAAAATAAATGGGTTTAGGGGCTGGGGATTTAGCTCAGCGGCATAAGCACCTGCCTTGCAAGCAAGCAGTCATGAGTTCGATCCTTGGTACCGATAAAAAGGAAAAAGACAAAAAAATAAATAAATAAAAAATAAATGGGTTTGCGAGGTGCTGAGTTCAATCCCCGGTACTGCAAGTAAAAAGGTTAATTTACTGTTTCTTAGTTTTAGTTTCTAACCAAGTATATTTTAATAGATAAATATAGCCCTCAGCAACAAAAGTCCATGGAGATCCTTCAAAATATTTAAGGGTACAGAAGGGTTCTGAAACCACAAAGTTTCTTCTAAAATCAAGAGCCATCCCCACAGGTACTTCCACAGAGACAGCCTGTAGCTGTGTGGCCATTCTCCTGGGCCCTGGTTCCAAAGGCCCGGTGTGTTTCCTCCCCTCAGCCTGTCCCTGAAAACCCCCATCTCCATCGACTCACTTGCTCCCCCAGCCTCTCTCCAGCCCTCCTCATCCCTTACCCAGAGCACCACAGCCTTCGAGGGCCTCCAGCCTCACACCCATCTGCCTGGAACTCACATGTAGCCCGCATCCTATATTACCAGCAGGCTGACACCATACGAGATAGGGCTGAGAAGCACAGTAGATTGCTTGTTTTTGCTACCGTGAAAGACATATTGCCATGATCGCTCTTAAAATACGTCCCCTCACTTCAAACACATGATCCCCTGGCTATTTTCTGAAGCATTTCTGGAACTCTTCTTTCCTGAATGTCTTTAATTTGCATTGTTCTGGCTCGTTAATGTCCTGAATCAACTCAACATTTTTATTTTTAGGAGGAGCCAGAAGTTGCAAGGTATCAAATGTGGTAGATATGGTGGACAAGGACATACTGTAATGCTTTTATGAGCCTAGCTTTTGTCGGAGGGCACTCGGCAGCAGCATTCACCGTAGTTTTGATCACACCTCAGAAATAGATGCATGAAAGAGAATTTCTTTAAAACGTGGCAAAAACAATAAGTATGTTCAGGGCAGAGGGAATATAGTTGTTAGTAGACAAGGCAACCAGCCTGCGGGCCTGTGTGCTGGCAGAATCCAAGTGAGAGACAGCCCAACAGGACAGAAGCAGGGAGGTAGGGTTGGCAAACTTCACAGGGAAAACACAAAGGAACATTTTGAGGAGACTAACACCAATGTGTCTTTTACTCTAAGAAACCTTGAAAATTTAAACATTCATCATTACTTTGATCATTCCTCAGATCAACCCCGGTTAGAAGTACATCCTGCCAACTCTGACTACAAAAAGATCCTAAATTCTGATCAATTGTGCCATGATATAACTCTGACCCTGCCTCCCTCACCCACCATCCACCAGCCGCAAACCCAGCCCTTCTCAGAACCCACGGAGAAACCCTCCCTGCTCCCTAAGAATTCCAGAATATTCTCATACACATGCTTTTCTCTTTATCTGGAATGTTCCTTTTGGCTGGACAAACTTTAAGATTCAACTCATGTATCACTCAGAGACCTCCTTCCCTGCCTCCAAAAGAATCTCCATGTTCCTCCCCCTAGACAGAGTAAAGGACAAAACTTACACATGAGAGCACAAGTCTCCCCTTCAGGCTGGCCTACCTTCCATCTCTGGTTCAGGTACCTCTGCTCTAGTCTCTCCTTCTTTCTATACAAGTCACAGTCTTTCTGTCTCAGGATGGCTGCTTTGGGCTGGGGTTCAACTTCAAACCAAACTCCGTGGAGGAAGATGATATTTATCCAGCCTGACAGATCAGCCTAAGAGGCCACTCACTGACCTTAAAGGCTTCTCCTCAGGTTTCCTCCCAAGCCTAGAGCACCTGTCCTCTTATGAGGCACAGCCCACTGTCACATCCTGCAGAAAGCCTTCCCGAGCCCTGTGGTCCTGTCCACATCCAGCTCCACCCTCCCTGCTCATGCCTTCAGGCTTATTTTGCTTTGGAAGAGAGAAAGATCAACAGATGACAGAAACATAGACATTTATATTTATGTGGCTTTTCATGGTTTCACACAGAGAGTCTTGTTTAAATTTCCTATTGTTCCTGGTGGGATAATGGAGTAAACATAAGGCTTCTCCTTTCACAAATGAGGAAATTGAGGCTTCGAGTGGTACAGGGTGAAGATTGTATAGCTGGTAAATAGTAGATACTGACAATCAGTAGGTCCTGAAAATAATTCTGTCACTCTGAGTTTCACTCGGGCCCATGAAGTATCTTGTTATTGCAGAAATGGAAAAAAACAAAATAGGAAGAGGTCAGGTGGCTTTTCTTTAGTCATGAAGGAACAGGTAGGAGAAGAAGCTGTGTTTATTTTGTAACTCTGCATTTGGGTGTGACAGAAACATGAACATTTCCACAATGAGAAGAGGTGCATTTTTGACCGGGTGGGGACACAGAGTGGCCGTGAAAGGAGGTTGTCCATGGCTGCAGCTTCCTGAGGAGCCCACCGGTTAGATCCACAGTGCCTTTTCTGAAGAATTTTTAAAAGTTTTATGTGGGACAAAATGGCTGTTTTTATATAAAATTAACAAAAGTAATTCATGTTCTTTAGAGATTTTTTTTTCCTTCCTTGAGGATTTAAAACAAAACTTTATATCCTTTAAAAATTTTTTTCTAAGTAAGAGAGATCCTAGCTGGCAGAGGGGGTTCTGTGTACAGGAGCCAACCTGGGTCTTTGGGTGACAACCTTCCCCTGGGACGTGATGGCCCTTGGGCTCCAACACCCCAGCTGCTGGTTTGCCTTTCTATTTTTAAGACCTGAAAGTTTGAACAACCTTATCTCAGTTTTCTTCCTCAATCTTGACTGGAAGTCACAAAGCACCCAGAAGATTAATAACAAAATCTTCATAGTTGCCTCTTACCAGGAAATCAGCACTTTCTTCCCTAATCAGTAGTAAACAAGGCAACCAGGCTGTGGGCATGTGTTCTGGCAGAATCCAAAGTGGACAGAAACCAGGAAGGGGGTGCTGAGGGGCTTCATGGGTAGACTAAGGGGAATCGGGTCAGATCTGTTTCTCCTAGAGCAACCTACCAGGTTGAAGACCCCCAGACCAAACATCTGTACCCTCTGACCAAAAGACACCCTGAGGAAATGAAAGAAAATCTGAATGAGAAGGCTAAGATATGGAAGGGCGCAGCTACCCACACCCACACCCCTGCCCTCACCCCCACTGTGTGCAGGATTTTGTAATTACAAGCTGCTTCCTCCCGTATTGTGTGTTGCAGTTCCAAGGAAATACAAAACACCACCTCGTTCCTCATGTTGCAGTTTCTCTGAGGAAATTGAGTAAAAGACAGGATTTAGCGATTTATCCAACATTCCACAGCAAGTAAGCACCAGACTACAAAGGGCCACGATTACCTAGCAAGCGTGAGGCCCTGGATTCGATTTCTGCCACCAAAAAATGGGGCAGGGGGGCACAATTCCCATCACCCTTGCCAGGAGGTGACCCCTAGCCATGGCCTGCTGCCATGAGGCCACAGCTCAGGGCCAGATGAGCACATTCAGTATCTTGTCCTTGTCCGTGTGGCCTCTGCCAGTTCCAGAGAAATCCATGACACAGTGGCTGCCAGAATTCAGCCACTAGGATGAAAAAGTCGGCCCAGCTTCTCAACAGAGTTGAAGCAGAAGTTTTGCGGTTCAACACAGATCTCCAGGCCCTCAGCAGACTTGTCAGTTAGATTTTGAGGAAGTCAAAGAGAGGCAAAGATTTCAGCCCGTAAGACTGGCTTTTTCTCTCTCTCTCTTTTTTTTTTTTTTTTTTTTTTTTTTTTTTTTGACATGAGCTTTTTAAAAAAGAAAGTATTTTTTAAAAATTTTAAAACTGTGATCAGATATAAAATTTACCATTTTAACCATTTTAAGGGTACATTTCCATAGCATTGAGTCCATTCACATGTAGGACAACTATCACCATCATCCATCTCTAGAACCTCTTTCATCTTGCAAACTAAAGCTCAGTGGCATAAGTGCCTACCTGGCAAGCATGAGGTTGTGACTTCAAACAAACAGAAAACCTAAAGCTTCACTCATTAAACACTGCTACCACTACCCTCTTCCCCCTGCCCTCCAGCTCTTGGCAACCACCATTGCACACTGTCTGTGAATTTGGACACTCCAATTACCATGTGTCCTTTTGTCACGGTTTATTTCACTTAGCGTAGTATCTCCAAGGTTCATCCATGTTGCCACATGTGTCAGAATCTCTTTCTTTTCTGAGGCTGAGTAACACCCACTGTATATAGCACATACTATTTTTACCCATTCTATATGGGTACTATACTATATTTACCCATTCACCCACCCATTCATCCATCAATGAACACTTCAGTCATTTCCACCTTTTGATGACTGCTATACCTGCTGCTGTGAGCATTGGCATGCCAGCCCGGCCATTTGTTATCTTCTTAAACTTGCTCCTGGATCTTCAGGCTATATGTTGCCTGTTACCTTCGTACAGTTTTGGGTCATACAAGTATTTGCAGCCCTGATCTATGCCCCAGAACAATGCTCCTATATTCTACATCCCAGTATCCATGTGTCAGATGCTGGTATTCTGAGAGTAGCAGCTTCTGGCTTGGGAGAAAAATCCACAGTCTTGAGGAGTCAAAGCTGAGGTTTCTTATGACAGCACAGAATTAGCTGAAATTATCTTCAGCACAATCAGATTTAAGAGTTGGATGTGTTCATCAGCCCACTTGAAGCACCTACAGCCCTCCTCTAGAACAGTGGTGTTTGAGGTCATTGCCCTGAGGTCCTGATCTGCATTCACCCAGGAAACTAGCTACCAACATCCATGCTGGATGCTTCATGAGCACTGAGAGAAAACTGAGTTGCATTCCTATATCTTTACAATGCCTACATACACCACAGCAGGAGGTTTTGCTTAAACTGAAGAGCTTAATCTTTCCCCCATAAAATTCTTGCTAAAACTGAACAAGGACTGTCCTTCAGGGAAATTTAAGATACTTGCTTTATTTTTCAATTCGAGCACTTAGAATAATTTCAGGTGTGAGCAGTCAGATTGTTCAGGACAGTACTCACCCAAAGACTGCTCACCAAATGGCCCTTCTTCCTCCCCACCCCAAGGGTCAGCCTCTGTTCCCAGCCCCTTGACTGAAGTCTGCACTCTGTCTGCCTCGCTGACTGAGGGCAGAGGCACATGCACTCACCATGCAGGGTATGACCTTCTGGATCTCCCAATATATGATGGCCCAGCTGCCCCACAGGCTCCACGTTGATGCAGGGGTCCCGGAGTCAGGAGAGGGCCGCCAGTCTGGGCCGCACCACAGCTGGAAGCCACTTCATGCCAACGTTCCACTTCCTGTGTAAGAAGTCACAGTCAGCTGCAAAGGTGGTTAGCAATCAAACGAGGGAGGAGAACTTGATGTTTTCGCTTCAGTATGAGTCACCAAATCAAAGTTCAATAGCCATATGCAAAATGAACTTTCCGGAAGGTGGCAGCAGGAGCCACTACACAGGAAATCCGGGAGCGTCCTAGAGGAAAAAGCCAAGAAGAATCTGAGGGTGAGAACTGCAGCTCCATGTCCTCACTGTTGCCTGTGCTGGGGAAGAGAGTTTGATCCTAGCTGATCCTCAGGGAGGGAGAACTCAAAACTAAACATGAATGCAGGGGCAGGGGCACGGGAGAGAACAGAGATGGCTCTGGGGTACACCCTGGACGTGGGGTGGAGGAAGACACTATTCCTTCTTCCACAAAGAGAGGAGGCTCAAATAAAGCATGAAATCCTTTGGCGGAGGAGCTTGGACACAGGAATAACATGACCCTGTGGCTCTCCTTACTGCTGCCCTGCACGGGGTGGACGGTGCTTCTGCCTCCCTGGGTGGGGTAAAGTCTGACCCCAGGACCGCCTGATCGCAGCACTCTGCTTTCAGGTGCAGTCAACAGATGCAGAGCTCAGCATTTATTTCCTGAATCTGGGGGTGTCCATCAGTGATTAGAATAAAAGGGGAAGTGGCAACCCAACCATACTGCAGCTCAGCTCCCGACAAACACCTCGCACAGCAACTTCCCCAGGGACACAGCCACCCAGCAGTCACACAGAATTTACAACCTGGGAGCTGGTGCCAAGGAAATACCTAAGACAGAAATTAGACAGGGCCGGGCAGGGGCACACACGCATCTGTAACCCAGCGCTCTGAATCTCATGTTTGGGGCTAGATAGTGAGTTCAAGACTAGCCTAGACTACATGTGAGACCTGTCTCAAAAATCAGCAACAAACAAACAGACAGACAGACAGAATGGCACAAATTAGCCACAATTTATTGCCCCACTTTATTTATTCTCTCTTTCTCAAAGAAGACTTGAAGCAGCCTAGAGTTTTAAAAAAGCTTTGCTGAAATAAAACTTACTCTGGTATGAGAAACCAAAAGTGTAAATAAGGACCAAAATGTATAATAGATATTATAAAATAGGAAGAAAATGTTCAAACAGGAAAGAGACCAAGGAATAGGGAAGGGGGAAAGGAAAAGGAAAAGAGAAAATACGATGAGAAAAGAAGGAAAAATGGAAACAGCTTTTTGTAAATAAGGAGGGGAATGGAGTTTGGAGGGAGGGCAGGGAAATGGGGGGAAAACCAAGTTATGTCATGTATATGTACAAATTCCCCATGATAAATGTGATCATTATGTATACCTAAAATGTATTAATAAACATAATTAATTTTTAAAAAGGAATAAAACTTAAATGCACCATCATAAATCACTAGATAAAAAAGGAATATTGTCTGAGAAAGCTAGATTATAATAGTTATTATATTGAAATTCTGCTTTTGGATTTCTTAGCATCAAATTTGCTAATAATTGACATTTTCTTACTACAATATTTATGATATGGTTTTTCAAAATTAAGATGAGGTCACTGGGATTGAAACAGGGTAACTAAAGCTATCTGAGTTCACTTAGCAAGTGGTTGGGTCAGGATTGATACCCAAATCCACTGGGCCCCAAACCATGTTTGTTTGTTTGTTTTATGAGACAAGATCTTGCTATGTAATTCACGTTGGCCTTGAACTCACTATGTAGTCCAGATTGACTCAAACTCAGGAAGATCATCCTGCCTTTGCCTCTGAAGTGCTAGAATTATGGGTGTGGGTCACCACATCCAGCCCAAAGCACGGTCTTTATAGAACCCACAAGCAGCCTCCGTACTCCTGAATCCCTAAGAAAGCATGAAAAGTGTTCAAAAGAAATAAATATTTTCCCTGGTATTAAATTCCCAGAGAAAACAAAATCCTAATGATGAGTGTCAAAAAAGACAGTATCCCTAGCGCTGGTCCCATAAAAGATGCCAGGATGGTCTCAAATGTCCACTCTTCCCTGGAAGTCAGGGAAGAAGCTGACCGTATAACTTTACACCTCCACTAGGGTGGGCATTTCTATAGGGAATGAACCAACACTGCCCAAGTTTTCTACCTGAACAAAGCAACAGAGCCTACAGACACATACTTCCAATGGGCTCCTTGGGCAATCTTTCAAACCCCAGAGCAGTGAGTCACAATTCCTTAAGGTATAGGACAGCAACCCACCTAAGTAGAGATCCTCTTAGGAGATTGCCAAGTGTGACTGTATTGTGCACTTAAAATGTAAACCTGGTCCATGGAAACTTAGAATCCTGTTTCGAGACCCAGACTAACAGCACCTCTGCCCAAGACAGGGACCAAGAGGGCAGCCCCAATGGCTGCTTTGAAACCATGGTGAGACCCACTCAAATATCAAAGGAGTTCATATTTGGTGGAAGTCCCCAAAATTCTGTCTTAATTCCTGGAGACATTATTTCGACTAGAAAATGTACTGCTCAGTTGTCTTCTGTAAGGAAATAAAAACTACCATACAGTCCCTGTACAGTGTCTGGTTTAGAGAAACCTCATCTGGATTCCCCCACAAAAAATGACTCAGCAACCACGACTCTGGCAGGTACCCAAAAGGATTAAGCCATGGCTTAGGCTGCTTGTTGACCACTTAAACAAAAATTAAGGGCTGCCAATTTCATTTGCCCCAGTGTTACCCCAGAGGAGGTTCTGCCCAGGAAAGGGTAAGGAAAGCAGCAGCTCCCTCTGGCAGTGGTAGACAGACTCCAGCTCCACCCTCCACATGCCACTGGAGCTCTAAAAAAATAGTGGGCAGCAAGCCCAGCACATTTCCTTCTCAGGCCAGGTTTAAACTTGGCATAGATCTGCAAAAGCTATTTTTGCTTACTCTGGCCTTACTGGTGAGACAGAGGTCTATGCTTTCAGGAAGTGGCCCAGAGGTGCAGAGACTAGATCATAAGCATGTGGAGACAGATCCTCATCATACAGGAAGGTACAGAGGTATAGGTGGGTAACATGTGCCAGGAAACCTGGAAACCCATGGCTGGCACAGGCCAGGACCTCCTGTCTTGGCTGTCTCTTCTCTGCAGCATCAGTAGACACCACAGTCTTTGCTACATAATCGTTTTCCTCAATGAACTAAAACAGAGTATGTTTATTTGCAGAGTGACAAGGACAAACATAGATTCAGCCCTACTAACCGCAGCCCAGTTCTCCATTAATGTAGACCCTGGGGCGGGGAGGCCATTTCTCCATATCCTACCAATATTCAGGCCTGTGAGACAGTGCTTTTTGCCCATCTGATATATGAGGAAGGGGGAAATATATGTCACGCTTATTTTAACTTTGATTTTCCTGGCTACTAAGTTAAATGGCGCATAATTTAATCCAGTTACTGGCCATATAGTTTTCCCCCTTTTTTCCTCCATTCCCTATTTCCTATTATGTAGCTTTTTTTCTTTTTTAGCTTTTATATCCTCTTTACACTAAGTCCCATGCTCCCAAGCTAACAAGTGTCTTTTAGTCTTGAATATGTTTTGGGATCTACAGACATTTTTACTTTCATGTAGTCAAAATTATTGATTTCCCTTTCAAACTTTTTTCCAACTTTATTCAAGAAATTCTTCTCCATCTTGAGATTAAAAGGACATTTTCCTATATTTTCTCTAAAGTTGTAAAAGTTTTATTTATTACAATCACATCTTTAATCATGATCTAGAGTTTACTTTGATGGAGGAGAAAAAAAAATCAAAGCTCATTATGATAGGCAATTTGAAGTCATCAGCTGGAAATCAGAGCACTCTGCTATTTATTAGCTGTATAACCTCAAGCCGATTATCTAAACTCTCTGTGCTCTATTTCCTTATGTGTAAAATGAGAGCAATAATCTCATCCACCTGATACTCATATTGCAAGAATTAAATCAATGCATTGCTTAGAATAGTACCTGGTATATTTTAGGGGTTCAATCGGTGACTGTTATTTTGAGCAGGGTCTTTAATGAAGATAGGACTACTAGAATTTATCTGGTAAAGTCTAGCACACTGGAAACACTGAAAAATTGTCAGAAGGCTATAGAAATGAGCAAAACAACACTCCTAGTCCTCAGTAAAAATGTGTGCACCTCACAGTGCTCACAGAGAAATCCAGGAGGAATAGCTGTAATTGTTATTGAGTTAGCTAATAATTTAATTCAGAACAATTATGCATTTAAAAATAATATTTGATTACTACAGAAAATCTATGTGTCATTTTCTCTGAGTCTCACCTCAGATACTATCTTAAGCAACATCAAAGCCCTGTCTTGGTTACTTTTCTCTCATTGCTGAGACAAAATATCTGATGCCCAAAATTAGAGAAGGAAAGACTTATTTAGCTTACAGTTTGTGAAGGTTTCGGCCTATAATCTATCGTACTTCCCCAAAAAGGCCCCCGAAATGAAAAACGGGGCAAGACCCCCAAGATGAAAAACAGGGCAAGATGACATAATTTTAAAAAGAAGCACTTTTATTTTAGCTGGCCCAGCGACACAGTACAGATAAAATTTGCAAAGCTATGCATCTGAGTTAGAATTTTGATTGATTTTTATAGTTCATTTATGATTAGCTCATTGATCATTAAGTACATAGCAATGAGAAACAGAAACAAGGTGGGCCTTTGATCCCCTTTGCTTGAGATCAGAGACATTTCACAGTGGGTGGTTAGCCAATTCATAGCCCTTGGTCTGCCAATCTGAGGAACATTTGTGTCTCATGAAGGGAACAATGGTTGACACAGCATCATTTGTCTCTTACAAGGGGAACAAAGGTTGACACAGCAAATGGGTTACTGGGGTGGGGGGAAATGGATGCATACAGACCAGCATGACAACGCAGTCAGTTATAATCTATAACTATGTGGTTGGTGCTTGGTTACTAGGGTAACAAGCTCAGCACAGAATGACAATACTGCTAATAACTATCCTTTTAATTAACTATTTTTGTTAATAACTTTTAATTAACTATTTTAATTTTTCAGCATCTTAGTATAACAGAATCATCTGGCTCCAAGGCAGAATGGTGTGACATAGAAACAATAGTTTATGATGGCAGGAAGACAGCAAAAACAGCAAGAGCAAAAAGAGGGGAAAAGGGAGAAGCACGAGAGAAGACTTTCTGTCCCTTATACTGTATGTAGGTAGCACTCACACCCATAATCTCAGCATGACTCAGTCACAAACTCTAGAAGCCCACCACCATGACTGTGTGGGGCTTTGGGGACACATCCAGGCACAAACCATAACAGGAACAAAACTTTGTTAAGTGATTTCAAAAAGTGATGTTTGATACCATGTACTTGGCTGAGGATATGATCATGAGATGAACAAAGTTCCTACCTCTGAGTTAGTAGAGATAACAGAGATAGGATTTTACGCAAATAGTTACAGCCATGTGGTAAACAGACAAAATCAAGGCTTGCCATCCTCAGTGCTGCTGATGTTTGGAGCTGGAGGTACATCCATATGGATTCTC